GAAACAAAGATGAAGTTCTCAAGGTGAATGCATACCTTGACTCTAGGGGTCAAAAACCTAAAAATCAAGTCAAGAATCTTGGTGTGATTCTGAAGACAGACCTTAGTTTCATGTCAAAGCAGTAACTAAATCAGCATACTAAAAACAATAACATTGCCAATGATGTCTGGATTTTAAATGACAACATGACTGACAACAGTTTATCTAATAGCATGTTCAAATATCTAACGTAAATGTTCAAATAAAGATTTGAAAAAGTTTCATAAATGGTAAACTTCACATTTCAGCTTTTAAATAAAGAAAAGTGTCAAGTCAAAATGATAATTGATTAATAAATGATTATATGTATTTATCTGCTCCATAAATAATACTAGATACCTTATTGTTTAAATGTGTATAATCCACATAAGCTTGTTTTTCATCGCAGTTGGAATCAGCTTCCAGAAGAGATCAGATGTGCTAAAACATTAGTCACATTTAAATCCAGACTCAAAACTTGTATGTTTAGCTGTGCATTTATTGAATGAGCACTGTGCTACGTCAGAAATGATTGCACTGTATTTTATGTATAATCTTTTTTCTATTCTTAACTGTTTTAATTCATTTTAAATCAATTTTAGTTTATTTTAAAAGTTTTTTTATGATTATTTTAATTCCTTTTATGTAAAGCACTTTGAATTACCATTGTGTATGAAATGTGCTATATAAATAAACTTGCCCTGCCTTGCCTAGTTATAATGACTAGCACAAACCCTTATCCCTTAAAGAAAACATGCATTATTATTACTTTATTTATTAATTATTTTTGCCCTCAGGGATGTCCTCAAAAGGAGTTTTTGTCTCATTCATTTTGGGCAATTTTTCAGCAGTTTTGTCCCCAAGGTATGGCTGCATTAAATATAAACAGTTGTATGTTCGTGGGACAATCGGAAAGCTAATGTTCCATGATTTGACCTGTTGACCTCTAACATCTGGGATTCAAGCTAAGCAAACGCACACCCACACACAATGATAAACACAAATGAGCCGCAGGCAGTTATTTTTGGTCTCCTCTCTGATATTCAACAAATAAACATCTTGGAAGGAGCCGGTTCACATACATTATTAATCACAAATGTCAAAATCCAACAGAGATTATTTTAGTGATGCACTACAGAAGAGGAAGCAAGCATCCAGATGTACTGTAAATACCACATGTGTCAAGGGGCTGTTGTTGTTGTTTTGGGTAGTTATGTCAAGCATTGTGACATGCGGTACTCCTATCAGATGACACTAGCAATAAAATGTGAATCTTATGCAAGATTATACTTATACAAAAATGTCACACTTAATATTTTCAGTAGTTTTATTGAAAAATGCCTCCTCTGTTTCAGAAATAAATAAGAAAATAAGGCTGTGGAATTCACAATGTGCAGTTACAAACATGAAGCAGCAATACTATATATATATATATATATATATATATATATATATATATACACACACGCCATTCAGAGGTTATTTTTCTTATATCATATCATAGCCCTATAGCATATCATGCCATAGGTTGTATATCATATATTCCAATCATGGGCCTGTATCATACCATATTATGCCATTTATCATATATATAATATACTCATTCATATCATATCATATATTGTATTGTGTCATATAGTATAACATATATGTGTAATTTGGGATATACTGTATGACATATTCATATCATATCATATAGTGTATATAGTATATGATACATATGCCATTTGGCTTATATATCATAGCATATATCTTAAAATGCAGTTTTATAGACATATATTATTTGACACAGAATTAAAAAAAAAATGCAAAACTGCTAAAATGTGGTGAAAAGACTGAATAGTGACCAGTTACAGCATCAAAACTTATACTTTCTCTTAAGAATTTTTTGTAAATCAATATGAATTGGATTTGTGTGTAATTGTTGTTGTGTGTCTGTAGTTTTGTCCAGGCTGGTGGGGTCCAGAGCGCTGCAGCAGATGGAGTCCAGACTGAACACGGCCAGCGCTGATATCAGAGACATCACCACAGCTGAACAGGGAGTCGTTAAAGCTCAGGTGTGTGTGTGTGTGTGTGTGTGTGTGTGTGTGACAGGGATGCTTGTATGCAGGGTCTTCAAGTCCGTTTTAGTGTCACCTGCCAGTGGCGAGTGAATTGAGACTATTTACCTGAAATGAAAGTCGTTGAATACGTGTGATTGGCCGCAGATAATTTCTTTAGTAGACGATTTATACTGTATATCTTTGAAGTCACTCTTGCCTTTTACAGTAAATCAATGAGGGTTAAAGCCTGTTCATATCAAGGACAATAACTTTAATGTTAATTACAAAAATACAATATTCTAAAGGTGTGGTGACATTAGTGAGATTTCACAGGAGGTGAAGGTCCATTGTCTATTGTGTTGGTCAAGCATTGTGCCATATGTTGATTCTCTGTTTGAATCTCTGCTTGATCCGTGTGTTCAGTCTCTTAGCTGACGTTAGCGTTTGGTTTTTGGATGCGTTTCTTTCTTTAACTCCATGAATGATGGGAAGAACACCAACGACTAAGTGAGCAAACGCTGGCTGGCATTTGTTTAAATTTCTATAAATATTTATATTCTGCTGTGTTGGTCTCTGGCCTGAGCCGGGCGATGCCCACGTGGCACAGAAGAGCTTCTGATGGCCGTCTGCACAGCTCTCACCAACCCACACAAACAGACAGAATATGACTCTACATCCAGCTATGTAGTGTCTGTCATACACAAGAGCTGATTATGGACTGTGAGAAGCAGAAACTCCGATTTTAGCCGTGACTTGTTTCTGTGGGAGTGGAAGTGGTCTTTGGAGGGTTTTTAGGTGATTGTGGGTTGAGCTGTGTCTCCATCTGTGGATGTGAATGAAGAACTGCACTCTGATGATCTTATTACAGTGCTCGAAAGATGATCACATGCATGTGAGTGAACAACAAGTAAGGATTTCCAAGATGGGTTTTCCATGGAAAAATGTGTGCATGCTATTTTTGTAGAAATGAACATTTTCAGCAGTAGTTCAAGAATGTGCACAGTAAGCATTAAAGTAAAAACACACTTTGAATACATATGTTTACATATCAAACATAAGTTTTCAAGCATAACCAAAACCAGCATATCCAAGTCTCAATTTAACCGTATTTGCCATGTCATAAAAAAAGTAAAAATACACTTAACCCCTTTTTTTTTTTTTTTTTAATCTCATTATCTGGTATTTTAAAGACACTTGCTAACCTTCGCACGCAGTCATGGTGAACTGTGATGTGTCATATTTTATTTTATTATTTTATTATTAAAATTATTTTTGCAATTTTTATTATTTTATTACTGCATAAATTCCAAAAACATTTTTAGTCAGCGATAAAGGTGTTTTTGTGCGGTGTTATCTTAGTATTATACAATATTATAGTATTTATTAATTTATTATTAGTATTTAGTCATTTATTATTAGCATTTATTAGTAATGCAAATTTTTATTAGTATTTAGTATTATTTAATAATTGTAATATTAAAATATCATTTTTTTAGCTTTTTGTTTTATTTTTCAGTTCTCATTTCCATAGTTATTTAGTCATTTTGATGTGCTTTTGTCATTTAGTTTTTTTTATATTTCTATTTAGCTTTTATACATTTCATTTTTAGTAATTTTAGTACTTCCACTTAAATTTATTTCAGTTAGTTCCCAGGGCAACATTTCTAATTTTTAAGTAGTTTAAAAAAAAAAAATGCAAAAAAAATTTCAACAGATACATTTAAAAAAAAAAAAACAACAACCCAGTTTTGTGTCCCAAATGTGGTCAAGTATTATGCAAATAATACATTTTCTAGTATTACATGATTCTATTTACTATATTAATGATACATTTCTCCATAGTTTCTCTAGTTTATCAAACTGTTGTTACTTGAAATCAGATAATTTATTACCTAAGATCATAACTTTACAGCATAACTGTAATGGTTTGGCAGGGGATTCATTCTTGGTTTTGTTTTTATAATGCTGTTTTCTAAGAGTTATGAGTATTAATGATTTAAAGTATGACCTGGTGAACTCTGGTTGAGAGTGAGGAGAGGTGAATCTGCAGGACTCTTCTGGGTAATGTAGTTTGGCCTGTTTTCTAGGCTCTTTGTGCTGAGATAGAGCAGCAGCTGGAGGAGGCAGCAGAGCAGCAGGCCTGGACTGAGCTCTCCACCGCCGCCCAGGATCAGCTCAGCATGCTGCAGTGCATTCTGGGTAGCATGAAGGACACAAAGGTGAGAGCTGTGCCATCAGCCTGATTGAGATGCTTGTCTTTGCATGGATGTGGTGTGTTTTGATGGTGGTGTTGATGTGGATCAGGTGAAGAGTGAGGAGGTGAAGCGCTGGCTGGATGCGGTTGAGGAGCTGCTGTCTCGAGACGCCAGCGGCTTCAGTCACGGCGACAAACTACAGGAAGAACTCGACCAGTGCAAGGTCAGAGGTCAACGCATTCAATAAGTCATTCATGTGAAAGAGTAATGGTGAATAATCCAGCTAGTTAAATAAAAGCCTCAATATACTCACAGCAAAGATCTTTTTCATTCTTCATTTAAGGCTAAAAAAGAAGTTTGACATGCTATTGCTTCAGTATACTGTTATATGTGAATATATGTTGCACACTTTCCTCTCAATAACAAAATAAGCGCACAACAAACATGACAGTGGTGAGAAAATAGCAGTCGAATGGATAGTTCAGCCTAAAATGTACATTTGATGTTAGTTTACTCACCCTCAGGCCATCCGAGATGTAGTTGACTTGTTTTCTTGAGTAGAACAGATGACTTTTAGCTGAAACCGTGGTTCTTGGTGATTTATAAAATGAAAGTCAATGGCTACCGGCACTTTGAGAGTCAAAAAAAAGCATATACAGGCAACACACAATGAATACCCGTGGCTCTTGACGATATATTGAGGTCTTATGAAGCGAAACGATCAGTCTGTGCAAGAAACTGAACATTATTTATAATGTTACCTGTAATCCAGAGCCTCAGGCAAACAGGGAAATCTGATTCTTTTCTGTGAAAGGGTTCTTTTGGACTGTTTTAATCATCTGGTTCAATTCACTAGTTCATGCAATGTATACGTATATGCAATTATATCATTAAAGCATCCAACAATGATGTGAAACGTGGATGTTTTACATGTCTAAAGCACATAATGTGAACAAACTAGTCTCCATCAGCTCACCTTTTCACATAAACAATGAGAAACCATAAAAAAAGTTGATTTGGCCTCGCTTCATGCGTGTTCATATCGCAGGCTCATCTGTTGGAGGAACTGGAGCACTGAATCAGTTCATTCATCACAGGATCAGATACCCTGCTATTTGGGCTCATTTCGAGTCAGAGTGACTGTCAGGCATCTGAAAGTGAGTTTTGATTGAGTAACTTGTAGATCTGTGCTGCTCGAGCCACAAACGGTTTCAGACGCTTCAGTCCGATTTGGTGAACTGGTTAAACTAGTTCACTAAAAAGAATTGGTTCAAAAAAATGATTCACTCACAAACTGAACATCATTTCGGACCGTTTGTCTGAGGCTCTGGATTACAGGTAATAATGTTGTAAATAATGTTCAGTTTCTTGCACAGACTGATCGTTTCACTTCATAAGACCTCAATATATCGGCAGGAGCCATGAATACTAATTTTGTGTTCCCTGATATGCTTTTTTTTTACTCTCAATGTGAAGGTAGCCATTGATTTGCATTGTATCAAGGACCACAGTTTCAACTAAAAATCTTCTTTATTGTTCTACTGAAGAAAAAGGTCATCTACATCTGGGATGGCCTGAGGATGAGTAAATTAACATTAACAGCAAATGTTCATTTTTAGGTGAACTATCCTTTTAAGAAAGCATCTAATCATAGCAATGTGGATTTGCGTGCATGAGCATGCGATTCAAAACTCCAATAGATTGCTTTAAAGCAAGCAACTTTTCAGTATTAAACTTAAATAAGCAGTGTCAGTGCAGCTTTCAGTTAAAATTACTCTTCAATACCTGCTATAAATCAGCTCTCCAGTGTTTGTTTTTACTTGTGGACGTCTGATGGACTAAAAACAAACTCCAAATGAGCTTTGTTCGACTTTGTTCATACTAGTTTGTTCTTTGATTTCGCTTGAAGTATATTGGGTCTTTAATGCTGCTAGTTTTACATAGTTTCTAGCTGTTTGCTGCTGGTTTAGTTGGTTTATCAGCAGGTCCAGGGTTGTCCTGGTTGACCACCGTGGCTGAGCTGGTGGTGGACTTGTTGAACTGGTTTGCTAATCATAGTTTAAACTAGTTGAGAAATCAGCTGAAGTTGATGGTTGAGCAATTTCCTCAGCAAAACCGAAACGTTAGAGTTTCTCTGGAGTTGTTAGTGATGTTTGAGATGTGTCTGTGCAGGAGCTGCTGAGTGAGATGGAGAGCGTGGCCTCGTCTCTGAAGCAGATAAAGGAGAACGTGGCAGCCGTGCAGCAGAGCTCAGGACCGGGTCTGATCAGCTGGGGGCAGACGGAGCTGGACGACAGTCAGAGACGCTGGGACACGCTCAGTAAAGAGGTGAGAAAGAGAAACACAGAGCAATGGCCTTAAAGGGATAGTTCACCCAAAAATGAAAATTTGGTTCTTCTGTGTCATCACGTTGTATTAGTTCTGCAGCTTCAGTTTCAGAACTTTCACGCTTAGTAACACATACAGCTGTTCCCTCACCACAGTGCAACAGTGAAAAGGGACCCCTTTCAAACAGTGTCGCGTTCCGAACGTTGTTTAAGCGACATACACGGTATTCGGTATGAACCGTTATACCGCCCAGCACTACTCTGAATTACTGCAATGTCTGAACTGTCTTGAGCGCGTTCGCGTCTTCTTCAGCCGGCGTGTGACGCGTCGTCTTCTTCTTCTTGCTTTACGGCGGATCGCAGACTTCTAAGTGCATTACCGCCACCTATCTCTCAAATGGACCATTGACACTCTATCTACAATCTCAATTAGGAGCGTCAATGGTCCATTTGAGAGATAGGTGGCATTTGTGTTCTACTGAACAAACACACCTACATCTTGGATGCCCTGGGGGTAAGCAGATAAACATCACATTTTCATTTTTGGGTGAGCTATCCCTTTAACATCTATTAGCTACACAGCAAGGGAAGAGCTTGTACAAGGTGGTTTAAGTTTCAGTAAGCCACTTCCCAACCCGGCTTGATTCAGGAACATGTTCTTCTGGGATAAGTCACGTTACGTGGATTTTGTTTGCAGTTGTTGAGGCGTGAGGAGCGTGTGAGTGAAGGTCAGGAGAAAGTGATGAATCTGAAGAAAGACGTGGCGGAGATGCGCGAGTGGATGATTCAAGTGGACGAGGAGTTTCTCATGAGAGACTTTGAGTACAAGAGCCCAGAGGAGCTGGAGGAGGCGCTGCAGGATATGAAGGTGCGTATGAGTAGGTTGAAAATAACAGATCTATAATAACTTTCATTATTAATATTGATTAATTATTTTATGCATTATATATTGTTGCGTATTAATGTACAGTTATACTTGTATTTTCCAATGCTATTTTAGTATTATTTATATACTGTTATAGCATTTATTAATTGAATTAGTGTTTTTATATTTTGTTTTTATTTAAATTTTAGGAATTAATTAGTTTTAGGAATGTTGTTTATGTGCTTTTGCCTTTTGTTTGTTTTATATCTCTATTTAGATTGCATTTTATTTTCTCAGTTTTAGTCATTTTAGTACTTCAACTAAATTTTAGTTATTTGCAAAGGCAACATATATTAATATTTTCTATTAAAAATTATTTAAATCGTTTTGATAACACGTTTTTCTTTTGATTATACATGAACAAGTGATCTGTTAAGCATTATATATTGTTTGTTAAACATTTATTAGTAAAAAATAATGTAAAGTTGTACCTTTTTATGATTAAAACTAATTTCGAGCAGGTTGTAAATGCCAACTAGTTTTGGTATCATGTAAGATGTTTTTTTTGAATGTGTTATTGTTTTGTTGTGAATGTGTTATTTATTTATTTTTAATCTGTATTATTTTATTTTTTATTATTTTTTCTAAAGCTCTGACAATGTTAGTCAAGTTTCTTGTGTCAAAGGCATAATTGTGCCAAAGGGTTTTCATGATAATTTTATTCCTTCCTATTTATTTACATACTCACTTACTTAAAGACTTTTGTGTACATGTTCTCTCTCTTTCTGTGTGTTTCAGAGGGCTAAAGAGGATGTGTTACAGAAGGAAGTGCGTGTAAAGATTTTGAAGGACAGCGTTAATGTGCTGATTGGAAAGACGCCCCCTGGTGGTCCTGACCTGAGCCCTGAGCTCACTGAAGTGCTGCAGAACTACCAGAAACTCTGTGATCGCTTCAAGAGCAAGTGCCACACGCTTGAGGTACACACACACACACACAGAGGAAGCCTTGCTATTGGACAGCCCTGCTCCAGATGTGGTTTGGCTCCTCTTTGGATGATTAGCTGAGGTCTGATGTGTTTGTACTGATGTTCAGGAGGTGTGGTCCTGTTGGATCGAGCTGCTACAGTATCTGGATGCGGAGTCTGGCTGGTTGAACACACTGGAGGAGAAAGTTCAAGCCACTGAAAACCTCCCAGAAAACACAGAGTCTATCAGCGAGGCTCTGGAGGTAACGGCTTTCATGTTAAAGGTGTGGTTTAGCATGTTCGACAGATTTTTGCAGCCGAAATCCAGTCATTTCAATATCAATCCACGTCATTGAGAATTTCAAGTGAGGGTGAAAGATTTTGCAATAGGGTTGGGAATCGAAAATCAATTCCAATTCCAGAATCGGATACTTGTTGTAAAATTAAAATTTAAATTCCGACCTTCCTCGCTAATCTAAACTCTGCAATATTTGGCTTCGATCAGAAGCCGTAACAGCTAAGTATAATATCTGTGATAAGCTAAACATGTTGCAAGAGAGGTGTCACCACCAACATGTCAAAGCACTTTAATTTAACAGATCTTTAAAGATCACAAACACCAATGTGATCTTATTCCTAAATGACAACGTTTCAACTGGTAAACCTTTGGCGTGTGCGATCATAACGGTGAGATCATAAAACTGCTTCACAAACAGTTATTTTCAACAGCACAGTATCATTATTTCTGTGTTATAAACATTAAAATAATCACAGAAGTACGGGGATAGAAGATTGTAGTTTGGAAATAAACACTGATGTGTACGGTAGCGATCAAATTTGAGTAAATCACCTGTTGAAAGTAATTTGACACTTCAAATAAAGATTTATTGATTACGTTGTTACACCAGTAGGTGGCGAAAAGGGGCTGTTAAAAGTATAATATCTGTGATAAGCTAAACATGTTGCAAGAGAGGTGTCACCACCAACATGTCAAAGCACTTTAATTTAACAGATCTTTAAAGATCACAAACACCAATGTGATCTTATTCCTAAATGACAACGTTTCAACTGGTAAACCTTTGGCGTGTGCGATCATAACGGTGAGATCATAAAACTGCTTCACAAACAGTTATTTTCAACAGCACAGTATCATTATTTCTGTGTTATAAACATTAAAATAATCACAGAAGTACGGGGATAGAAGATTGTAGTTTGGAAATAAACACTGATGTGTACGGTAGCGATCAAATTTGAGTAAATCACCTGTTGAAAGTAATTTGACACTTCAAATAAAGATTTATTGATTACGTTGTTACACCAGTAGGTGGCGAAAAGGGGCTGTTAAAATGTATTTGTCTTTGAATCATTCATTCAAGAGATTCATTCAAAAACTCTGATTCATCCAGTGATAAAACAAGTAAATCTTGAGTGAGTCGTTGAATCATTAATTCAACATTACATGTGATTTTGTTAAGTTGTCTGTTTTTTCTTCAGAATCTTGAGAGACCCACTAGCTCCATAAAAAAAAAAAAAGTAAATAAAAAAAACTAGATTTATCCAGAATTGTGCAGCTCTATTTTGCACACAAACAGCTCTTAATTGAATCCAGTTTTTGTGTAGCCTGCTGAATTTTGTTCTTGGTATTCAGCAACTATATGTTTTGCAAGAAGAGACACAGAATAATTGTGACCACAAAACCAGTCATAAGGTTACATTTTTTGAAATTGAGATTTATGCATCATCTGAAAGCTGATAAATAAGCTTTCCATTGATGTATGGTTTGTTAGGATAGGACAATATTTGGCCCGAGATACAACTATTTGAAAATCTGGAACCTGAGTGTGCAAAAAAAAATACAAAAATAAAAATATTGAGAAAATTGCCTTTAAAGTTGACCAAATGAAGTCCTTAGCAATGCATATTACTAATCACAAATTTAATTTTGATATATTTACGGTAGGAAATTTACAAAATATCTTCATGGAACATGATGTTTACTTAATATCCTAATGATTTTTGGCATACAAGAAAAATAGATAATTTTGACCCATACAATGTATTGTTGGCTATTGCTACAAATATACTTGTGCTACTTATGACTGGTTTTGTGCTCCAGGGACACATATATGTTTTATATCTAAATGTCTGACTTCATTCTTTTAACCACATTGGAATCGTTAAGAATCGGAGTCGGAATTGGAGTTGATAAAATTCAAATGATACCCAACCCTATTTGGCAACAAGTTCAAGCTGCTCACACAGATTTGCTGCGCTGATCAACAGAAAGTGATACATTGCTACATTATTGACAATAGATTGTTTTGCCCACAAAATGACCAGACCTAAAGTGTTACAAATACAATGTGAGCACATATGTTTTTTCATTGTCTGATTGAGTGATCGGATCACGTTTTGGACACAGAGTCGGATGTTAAAAGTATGTCCATGGCATAAATGGGAGTTCTCTCTTTCAGTCTCTGGAGTCGGATCTGCGTCATCCGGGTGATAACAGGACTCAGATCCGAGAGCTGGCTCAGACTCTCATAGACGGAGGCATTCTGGATGAACTCATCAGCGAGAAACTGGAGAGCTTCAACTCGCGCTACGAAGAACTGACTCAGCTGGTGTGTTCGTTTTGAACGGAACAAATGATTTACCAGAACTGATTCAGATTCACATCATATGTGCAGTGTTACATTCATGTGTGTGTTGTAGGCTGCTGCACGTCAGATGTCTCTGGAGCAGAAGTTGGGGACTCTGAGAGAGAACGAGACGGCGTTACACACACTACAGACGTCCCTGACACAGCTGGACCAAACACTCACCTCGTACCTCACCGACCGCATCGACGCCTTCCAGCTGCCTCAGGAAGCTCAGGTACGAGCTCCTCGTTCAAACCACACTCTTCTGACAAGTAGATATTCAGAGATATCCAATAACCAATGACAGATATATCATTATATTACTTGTATAATACTATAATGCTCTTTTACTCTTGTGCCTTTAACATTAAAAATGCTCTCTGCAGGTCATTCAGGCCGAGATCGCGGCCCATGAGGCCACACTGGAGGATCTGAGGAGGAGGAATGTAGGTAACGTGCCTCCGACTGTCCCAGAGGGCAAACCAGTGCGAGGAGGGACCCTACTGGACCAGTTACAGGTCAGACACAATACTGCCCCCGCAGGACAGGAGCGGTAATGCAAATCACTAGACTGTTTTTATTTTTTCACACTGTTCATACTTCACCATGGTTTAGTTAATTACCAAATCCTGGGGCTGTTTCATAAAACAAGTTTACCAAATAAGCCAAGCTTATTTCAGTTAGTCTGACTCGTTGTCAAATGATTTGCAACTTATGCTGGGAAACTAAATGAGGCAACTTATGCTGGGAAACTAACCTGGGCTGCGTTTCCCAAAAGCATCGTAAGCTTAAGTACATTGTAGACACATTGAACCCAATGGAGCTACTTACAACGTAAGCTTATGATGCTTATTGGAAACGCAGCCCTGGTCCGGAGCAGGCTACCTGTCAGGCTAAACTGAGATCCTCTAACACTCACCAATAGCAAAGACTATAGAATATCCAAGACGTGTCACTCGTATAGTTTTGAATGGGGAAAAATGCAATGCTCAATATGGCGAATGAAAGAGCCAATCGCTAATCGGTAAAGTCAGTGTGTCACTGCAGCTGACGTTAGAAGTCCCGGTTGCTATAGAAACAGTCAGCGTTCTGAGACGTGCTCTTAGGACTGCGCATGCGCGCTGGCTGATCTAGCCTGAAAAATTAGCTTTTCATAACGCTATTTGAGCAAAAGAAACTACATTTATGATACTGTTGTTGTCAGATTTCATTGGTGATTTCTTTTTTTTTTTTAAACTAAGCATTAACACATGTTAGACTGCACCCCATAAAAACAATTAAGCCTAGAAAAAAACCAGTGAACCACCCCTTTAAAGGGACCGCAATGATATTACCAATGACTCTCACACATACAATTATTTGGCTTTGTTATCAGTCCAAAAATAAAAGTATACAGAAAATGCAACTTAAATAAATAAAATAAATAAAAATATATGCTACAACCGACTGTATTTAATGTATCGTGCCCAAGATTTAATGGCATTTTTCTAAGATATATGAACATATTTTAACATAGTTGCTACTTGCACATTAAGTTGATCAGCAGTTTCTAGCCATGCAGCCTTTCTCTCGGGTTTTATGACAGCTGTACCTTTACGGTTATTAGTAGAACATTAAAACATTACAATCTAAAATTGCTCTTTAAAGCATTAAAAACACTAAAAAGTTAAAATCTCTGAATTAAAAATGAAAATGAATAATGGAAAACAGACTACATTTTAACTGATAAGAGGATCGCACATTAACTCATTTGAGCTAGTATTAGCTAGCTTACATTCGATTTACAGTTACGCTATCATAAAAATACACTTATATGTAGGTTTAAAATCCTACATGTGTCACATTTAATGTCCAACAACAAATATTTTAACAGAATGTATATTTTACTCAGAATTATTGCGCTATTATTCTGTTGCGCTCCGTCTGTTTAGCGCTCATGTTCACTCGTGTAAACCTCGCCCAGCAAAAACGGATATACAGGTACATCTCAAAAAATTAGAATATCATGAAAAAGGTCAATATTTTTTGTCACTCATTTCAGAAAGTGAAACCCATATATTATATAGATTCATTACACATAGAGTTAAATATTTCAAGCCTTTATTTCTTGAAATTTTGATGATTATGGCTTACAGATAATGAAAACCCAAAATTCAGTGTCTCAGAAAATTAGAATATTGTGAAAAAGTTCAATATTGGAAAGTCATGGTGTCATCCCCTAATCAGCTAAGTACCTCAAAATACCTGCAAAGGTTTCCTGAGCCTTTAAATGGTCTCTCAGTCTGGGTCAGTAGGCTACACAATCATGGGGAAGACTGCTGAACTGACAGATGTCCAGAAGACTGTCATTGACACCCTCCACAAGGAGGGTAAGCCACAAAAGTTCATTGAGTATCTTAAATGGTTGTTTATGGAACCGCTTTTGTCCCGATTGATTTGTTAGGTTATTTCAAGTCAGATTTTGGACTTTAATCCTCGCTTTTCTTAGCCCCCTGGATACTCTGGTTTTGAGATTTCATTCTGTGTTATTTTAGTATTATTTATATAATATTTTATAATTAATTTTGAATGAGCTTTTTTTTAGTTAATTTCTTTGTAATTTTGTTATGTGGTTATGATGTTATGATGTTTTAAGTTTTTGTCTTGTTTTTTATATTACTATTTATGTTTAATTTATTTCAGGTTTAGTTTTAGGGTTTAGTTCAGTTTTAGTTTTTATTTATTTGCAGTTAGCAATTGTAGTGCTTAAACTTAAGGTCACTTAAAGGTCTTTTAAATATTTATATTTTATTTTATTTCAGCTGTATTTCAATTAACAAGACCGTTTCAACCCAGATTTTTTTTTAAAATTAAAAACCTTAAAAAATTACAAAAATGTTGAATGCACAAAAACTGAATATTTTTATATAGTTTTTCCCAGATTTTTGCTTTGATTTTCAGTCTAGAGAGGTCAATGCTAGTCTCAGAAGGTCAGGACCAGTCTGCTGGGTTGCGTTGACGGATTTAATAGAAAATCATGTAGTGTAGTGTTTTATATATATATATATACAGTGGGTACGGAAAGTATTCAGACCCCCTTAAATTTTTCACTCTTTGTTATATTGCAGCCATTTGCTAAAATCATTTAAGTTAATTTTTTTTCCTCATTAATGTACACACAGCACCCCATATTGACAGAAAATATATATATATATATATATATATATATATATATATATAACCATCAAGTTTATCTTGTGTATCTCTGTTTTAGCGGAAACTCCGTGAGATTAGTACCAAATTCCAGCTGTTCCAGAAACCAGCCAACTTTGAGCAGCGAATGCTGGACTGCAAGAGGATTCTGGAAAACGCTAAAGCCGAACTTCACGTCCTTGACCTGAAAGACACACAACCAGAGGAGATCCAGACCCACCTGACCGGATGCATGGTGAGAAAACACACAGGCATTATTATGATGTATTTACTATTATAGTACGTATTACTATTTTGAATTGGCTTTTTATTTTTATAGTTTCGGTTTTCATTTTAATTTTAGTTTAAGTTTTAGCAATTTTGGTAGGTACTTTTTGTCTCTTTTTATTTATTTATTTTTTCTTTCTTTCTATATAGCTTTATTTTTATTTCAGTTTTAGTCAATGTAATTTTAGTACTTTAACTTATTTATTTCAGATAGTTGACAGGGCAACAGATTTAATTTTAATTTAATTTAATTTAATTTAATTTAATTTAATTTAATTTAATTTAATTTTATTTTATTTTTTAATTTCATTTAATTTCATTTAATTTAATTTTTCACCTGTATTCCAGCTACCAAAATCGTTTTTTAGTAGTTTGTTTTACAGTAACAACACTGAAAAACACACCTCATCTTGGACTCTCACACTGCTTGTGCTTTATGTATGCGTGTTGTTTTTATAAATGCAGAAACTGTATAAGATCTTGAGCGAGGTGAAACTGGAGGTGGAGACTGTGATTAAAACAGGAAGACAGATCGTACAGAAACAGCAGACGGAAAATCCTAAAGAAATGGACGAACAACTCACCGCCCTCAAATTACTCTACAATGAGCTGGGAGCTCAGGTCTGTGCACATTTACACATACATGGTTAACCGCCATAAAGTCTCGAGACATGTTTTTTAAAAGTTGAACTTACGTACAAACATGCGGCTCTCTTGTGTGAGACGCGAGTACAACGGTGATAGATGTCCCTCTAGAAAATGTGATAAATATGCGTTCTGTGTGAACGGCTTGGTTTCAGTTTTGACGTAAACAACATCATCTCCGCATTGAGGTTCTCTTTTTCCGCAATATTTTGAATAAACAACACAGCAGCGCCGCATCCCGTGGGTTCAATTGGATAGGCTAAAAAAAGTATTAAAAAGCAGCAACACTTACATCGTCATCGCATCTTGTGCACCACTGATAAGGCAGCCTGACGCACAACTAAAATTCGAATGCGAACGTGGATTTTTATTTTAAATTCGACGAATATTTACACATACATGTTTAAAACCGCAATAAAAGCAACGTGTGCATGTTTTTTTTTTTTTTACATTTTGCAACTTAAGGTTTTAGATTTGAAAAATAAAGGTTACGTTCAGCCTCCACATCCTCTGTTTTTCTACTTTTCACCACCCAATCAGTTTCCAGTGGATAAAATCCACTCAGAAATACATCATATTACAAAAGTAAAATGAGTTACGCAAGCTATTTTGTGTGGTTAGGTGACTGAGGGGAAGCAGGATTTGGAGAAGGCCATGTCTCTGTCTCAGCGGCTGCAGAAGGACAGCGCCGCCCTGCAGGCCTGGATGAGCCACACTGAGACTCAGCTGAAAGAGAAGCTCAGCACAGGAGACATGCCTGCCGATATCGAGACGGAGATCACATGGGCTAACGTGAGTGTGTTTGACAGTCGCTCGCTCATGGAGTCTTTACACAGAGAGTGTGTGTGTTACATGAGTGTTTGTCTGTAGGGCGTGTTGAAGGAGTCTGAGCGCAAGAAGAGCGATCTGTCTGTGGTGATGGAGAACAGCGCCGCCCTGCAGGCCTTAGTGGAGGGCAGCGAGGCTCAGCTGGAGGATCAGCTGTTTGAGCTGAATGAGGACTGGGAGCGTGTGCACACGCTGATCGAGGACTGGCTCAGTGCTGTTCTGGTGAGTGACTGGTTAAGCTTACATCACGCAATTAACTCATGTAGGTTCACATCATCCCAACAACTGCTTCATTCGGTTCTGTGTGATTTGTCAAGACTGATTAGAAGGATAGCAGCACATGACACACACACACACACACACACACTTACTTACAGATATCTAAATGTGCACATTTCATAGACTTTTGTTTTTATATTCAGCTAATTATAAATACTACAAACTAACCCGCACCCTAACCTAACAGAATACTTTCTGCATTTTTAGAATGAATAATTAATAATAAATGAATTTATTATTATTATTATTATTATTATTATTATTTGAATAGTACTGTTTAGGTTTATTTGTATTTCCTTTTTAGATTTAGTTATGTTTTTTTTGTTTTTGTTTTTTTTCAGTAGTGATTTAGTAATTTTGGTACTTTAACTTAAACTTGTTTAATTAGCTGCCAAGGCAACATTTCTATGACATTTCTATTCATCATCTAATGTTTATATTTTATTTCAAGTTTTTCAGTTAGCATACGTGTTTTTAATAGTTTTAGTTTTAGTTACAAACTGACACAATACCCATAATATATAAAGTAACCCACAACCTAATGTTTTTATAATAAAAAATAACAAAAACAACAACAACAACAATGACAATGAAAAAAAAAGTGTTGTTTTTACAAAGAACATCTGTGGAAGTCTTAAAAAGGAGGTTTTTGTCAGGTTTTGCTCACTTCTGGGTACAATTTGTTTCTAAAATATGCTAATGTATGTTCACACACACAGACAAACAACAGAGCTTGTGTCTGGAGTCTCATTTATCAGTAAATGATGGGGGAAGACCTTCATAATTACTCATTTATATGCAAACTCAACTCACATGGGAGGTTTCAGTCATTAGCAGTCTGTTTGGCAGAATTTCATTAACATCAAAGTTGTACAGGTTTGAAATGTCACCTATGAGCATAATAGAATATATAATATAATTGTTATTTATATTATCTTTGTTATTCTTAGAAAAGGACTTAAACCAATAGTGGATGGAGACCATTTTTGTTTTATATATTATATTGTAATGTTTGTATACAGTATATAATATATGTAAAGTTTAGTGCTTTGATTTTACATGTGGCTATAATTGAATTGAAAACACATATACAATATATAATATATATATATATATATATATATATATATATAATTTTTATTTTTTATTATTATTATTATTATTATTATTATTATTATTGGTGTTGTTGTTGTCTTTTTTCCAATTCTTCCAAGAGGTATCAAATGCAGCAATACTAGATGCATACATTGTTTTAGAAATGGAAAAATATGCGTAATAGTTCCATTTAACTGCAAAATAATGGTAATATTAAAATGTAAGCACTACTTTTTACCTATTATATTTCACATTTACGTTACTTAAAGATGCTGTATCTGTATGCATGCCGAGAAAGAGAGAATGATGAAGGTGAAAACACACACACACACACACACACACACACACACTCACAGACTCACAGACTTGGTTATTTGTGTCTTTTCAGTGAAAGTGAATAATGAACAAAAAATAATGTAATTTGATCCATCAGGATTTGTTTAGATCATTAATGTTAGGCTACAATATTGTTGGATAATATTATTTTTGCTCTGCCCCATGACCAAGATTATATCGGCAGCAAAGAGAAAGTTTCAGAGGCAAAGAAAGTAATTACATTTTGATAGAAGATAATAAAAACAAACATTTTTCCTAGTCTAGTGAAACATGGTTGCATTAAAGGGATAGTTCACCCAAAAATGAAAATTCTGTCATTAATTACTCACCCTCATGTCGTTTCAAACCCGTAAGACCTTCGTTCATCTTCGGAACATAAAATAAGATATTTTTGATGGAGCTGTCTGACCCTCCCATAGACAGCAATACAACTGAAATGTTCCCAAGTCCAGAGTCGTAGCAAGGAGATCTGTAAAATAATCCATGTGACATCGGGGGTTCAACCGTAATTTTACTACGAGCTACGAGAATAATTTTTGTGCGCAAAAGAAAAAAAAACTACTTTATTCAACAATTTGTCTCCTCCGCATCACCCTAGCGCCATTTTGGAGAGTATCTGCTGGACGTAAACAGTGTATGCTGTTCTGTGTCAGCTGCGTCACGCCGGATCTGCTTCATATGTTGTTGTGATTTGATCTGAACGAAAACAGCGTATCCGTGTGACACAGCTGAAAGAACAGCATACACTGTTTACGTCCAGCAGATACTCTCCAAAATGGCACCAGGGTGATGCGGAGGAGACAAATTGTTGAATATGTTTTGAATATGAGTTGTTTTTGTTTTTTTTCGCACAAAGTATTCTAGGTGAAAATTTCAGTTGTATTGCTGTCTATGCAGGGTCAGACAGCTCTCAGATTTCATCAAAAATATCTTAATTTGTGTTCTGAAGATGAACGAAGGTCTTATGGGTTTGAAACGACATGAGGGTGAGTAATTAATGACAGAATTTTCATTTTTGGGTGAACTATCCCTTTAAGATGCATTAATGCATTGAATCTGCTCTGCGTGTGTCTCTGACAGGCTGTGCTGTGTGAGTTGGAGGGAATGAGTGTGCGTGTGGACAGCGCTCGTGATCAGGCAGTAATCTTGATGACCAGCAGGGGGCCTGTGTGCAGAGAGCTGGTGGAGCCCAAACTAGCCGACCTCAACCGCAGCTTCCACAAGGTGGCGCAGCACATCAGCTCTGCTCAGGTACGACTCCAGCGGCTCAGCACAGGCCTGAGAGGAGCTTGTTTTCCAGCCGCGGCGCTGGAGAGACGCTCATCAGCCAGTGCTGAGTGTGTGTGTGTGTGTGTGTTGTGTTCAGGTGTCTGCTGGTCTGGAGGTCAGACAGGAGGCAGTGCGGCCGCAGCAGGAGGTGGCAGACGGGAGGTCTGCTCCTCTTCTCTCCTCCTCACAGCTGCAGCTGTTCGAATCAGACCTACAAGCTACTATCAGAGGCCTGGAGCAGCAGGAGAAAACACACACACCTGATGATGAGAGGGTACACTCACATCTCAAACACACACCTGATGAGAATTTAATAAGTGAGATGGCATAACATTTTGTAGGTGGCTGTTTTTTTTTTGTTTTTTTTTACATATCTGTATTTTTAAAGGAATAGTTCACCAAAAGATACAATTTTCCTAAAGATTTACTCACCCTCAGGCCAACCGAGATTTAAAAGTGTTTGTTTCTTTATCAGAACAGATTTGGAGAAATGTAGCATTGCATCACTTGTTCAGCAATGGATCCTCTGCAGTGAATGGGTGCCGTCAGAATGAGAGTCCAAACAGCTGATAAAAACATCACAATAATCCACAAGTTATCCACACCACTCCAGTCCATCAATTAATGTCTTGTGAAGCCAAAAGCTGTGTATTTGTCAGAAAGTAATCCATCAGTAGGATGATGTTTAACTTAAAACAGTTGCTTACGGCTAAAATACGAGACCTCTATAATAGCACTTCCTCCAGCAAAAAAGTAATCTCATCTGAATCAGGGGAGAAATCTGCACAGATCAAACACTGTTTACAAGCCACAACAGCTATAAACAAATATGTGGGTGGATTTTGATGTTAGAGGAAAACATGGGATGGACTTTTTCCTCTAGAGGAATCATTGTTATGGATTATGGACTCGTATTTTGGCCAGAAGCGATGGTTTCAAGTTAATGATGGATGCGTTTGTTACAAACATGCAGCTTTTCACTTCACAAAACATTAACTGATGGACTGGAGTGGTGTGGGATTACTTGTGGATTATTGTGATGTTTTTTTCAGCTGTTTGGACTCTCATTCTGACGGCACCCATTCACTGCAGAGGAGCCATTGCTGAATAAGTGATGCAATGCTACATTTCTCCATATCTGTTCCCATGAAGAAACAATCTCGTTTGAGGTTGAGTAACTTTTCAGCAAATGTTCATTTTTGGGTGAACTTTTCCTTTAAACATCAACTATGAGCTGTTGCACCTGCTCTTGTTACACCAGGTGTCTACATAAACAGCAATTTAAAAAGCGTCATGTGTTTGTCCTGAATGAGTGTTTTTGTGTTTTAGTTGGATGAGGAGAAAGCTCATGTTGAGGAGGTGCTGAGGAGAGGAGAGGAGGTGCTGCTGTCTGTTCCTGACGAGGACAGAAGAGAAGACATCCGCAGGAGACTCCTGCTGCTCCAGACATGCTACAAGGTCATTTCATGCACTCTTAACATGTCAGCCACGTAACGCCGGCTCTGAATTTCAAGCCACTTTCACACGTAAAACCCGTTAAATTGCGGTATTAACATTTCTGGTAACAGATTTCTATTTATTAATAGTATTGCTACTTTTCAGACATATCTCTAAAACTCTTTTGAAATTCTAAAATCAAAATTTTCTTTCAGAAATAGTAGGTGGCTACTGTTTGAAAAGCTAATGGGTTGCAATTTAGGTACACAATGTTTACATTTGCGGTTGTGTGTAATGTGATGGTTGTCTATAAGTGGAAGACGTTATGTCAGAACCTTGCATTTGCTTCCACTCCAAGTCTTATAGCACCAGAACATCTTGACCTTGCATGCTTGAAAGGATGGATACTTTACAGCTGTTACAGCTTTTTTTTACAGTATTGTAACAGTGTTACAGCTGAGATTAAGGCTGTTATAGCTATGCTGCAGTCATGATTAAGTTTACTGCACCAGTGTTGGGCAAGTTACTCTGAAAATGTAATCAAATTACTGATTACTCCTTTTAAAAGTAATCACGTTACTGTTCTGATTACTTTGTTTCAAAAGTAATTAGTAATTAGTTACATTACTAGTTACGTTATTTTTTTCTCCATGAAATGTATGAAATCCGAGCATACACGCTCCTGATAAATATTTGTTATTAAAGCATCAACATTCACAGAACACTGTTATTTTTAAATAAATCAAGCGGCTGCTGTGTTGCGTGTAGGGTTGCACGATAAATCGAAATGGAATCGAGATCGCGATTCGACAGAAGCTGCGATTGTCATGCGTACCTATCTTTCAGTGAAGCACCGTTCTGTGATCAGCCGTAAATCTCCATCCAAAGGCCAGAGGGCGCTCTCGTGCTGAAACTCCAAATACACCTCG